CTAGTCTCTGGACTTTGCATAGGTTTAGCCTTGCCGTCCGTTGCTCTAGTTTTGTGTACCAGGCAACTGCTCCATAAGTAATCATGGGTCTTACTATCATGGTATACATCCAGCGCAAAATGTTAGGGGAGCAGCCCCATCTATTTCCGGCCAGTCTTCTGCATATCATGAGAGCCTTTATGGCTTTGCTGGTAGTGTTCTTAATATGCCTGTTCCACAGGAGTTTACTGTCCAGGGTTATTCCCAGGTATTTAACTTCCTGTGTTGGCAGTATTTCCTTTCCATCTAGTTGGATTCTTTTCAAGTTTTTCAGACTTCGCCTTCTGGTGAATGGCACTATCGCGGTTTTGTCTGAGTTGATACTCAGCCCGACAGTCCTACACCATCTCTCAGTGATACGGAGTCCTCTTTGGATAATATCACACAAGGTGCCTTCATGTTTCCCCCGAGCGATCATGACTATGTCATCTGCATACCCAATGCAGTGTATTCCCGCTAGAGTTAATTCATCTAGTAGTTCATCCACCACCAAGCTCCACAGCAAAGGGGAGGTTACTCCACCTTGTGGAGTTCCTTGCGTTGTTTTAACAGCTACAGTTTTGGTGCCCATCTGAGCCTCTGCTGTTCGTGTTGACAGCATTTCCCAAAACCAGCGAATAATAGTTCTGTTCACCCCTCTTGTTTCTAGAGATCGCCTGACCACCTTATGTGGTATATTGTCAAACGCCCCCGCAATATCCAAGAAGGCACAAATTGCTGTTTCTTTGCTATCCAGACTTGTCTGTATTAGCTCCGTTAATTGGTACAGAGCAGTTTCTGTGGATCTGCCCGTTCTATATGCATGCTGACTATCATGCAGTGGTTTAACCTTTAGATGATTTTCTCCAATATGGTTGTCAACTACTTTCTCCAGCGTTTTTAGTATGAACGATGTGAGACAAATAGGCCTAAATGACTTGGGATTTGTCCAGTCAGTTTTGCCTATTTTGGGTATGAAGATTACTTTTGCTCTTCTCCATGTGGTTGGTATATATCCCATTGCTAGACTGCTTCTTGTAATGCTTAGTAGATGGTGAGTAGCTATTTGCTGACCCTCCTTTAGAAGGGCAGGAAAGATCCCATCCACTCCTGCTGCTTTATAGGGCTGAAAGGTGTCGATCGCCCATTTCAGCTTTTGTTCTGTTATTACTAGCTTGGCAACTTCCCTACAAGGATTGTGAGGTTCAGTGGGAGCTACATAAGTATCAATAGGTATGCTACCTGGAAAGTGTGTATAAAGTAGGAGATTTGCTCTCTCTTCCTCTCCCTCCGTGTAGCTTCCGTCAGATTTCTTAAGTGCCATGATGGGGATAGATCCACTCTTGGCCATAGCTTTGTGTAATCTAGCTGCATCAGGAGTAGAAGTGATGTTTTCGCAAAAGGATCTAAAGTCATACCGCTTTGCCCTTCTTATCTCCTTCTTATACTCAGTTAATTTCTCGCTGTAGAGCTGCCATTCGCCACTGGATTTAGTTCTATTAAAGAGTCGTCGGACCTCCGATCTAAGTTTGGCCAACTTCTTGTTCCACCAGGGCTTCTTGTTACTTTTTGTGTGCCTTTACTTGCGGGGCAACTAGATTCATATGCATCCAATATTGCACCGCTGACTTCCCTTGCGTACAATTCTAGATGCAGATGGTTTCTGGCCCTACTTGCATCTATACGGCTTAGGTTGTCTACGAGATTGGTGTTATACATGTCCCAGTCTGTTTTTCTTGGATTCCTTCGAGTTTCTGTTTGGGGTGTGATTCCTCCTAATTTGAACTCGATGATTCTGTGATCTGATAGGGAGGGTTCCGTTGAGACCCTCCATTGTTTCACGTAACTGATTACACCAGCACTCCCGATTGTTAAATCTAACACTTCTGCCCGCGTTTTTGTCACAAACGTGGGGCTGTTCCCCTACATTGAGAACTTCAAGATTGCATGCTAAGAGGAATTCAAGTAAACACTCACCTCTAGTGTTAGTGTTAGTGCTTCCCCATACCTCATTGTGTGTATTGGAGTCGCATCCCATTAGCAGAGGTAGTCGCCGTTGGCTGCAGAATCGCACGAGCTCCCGTACCTCCGGAGGCGGTGCCTCCCCGTCACCCGGAAAGTAAGCAGAGGCAATCACGATGTTTTTACTGCAATCCTCGATATTAAGCTGAACCATGATAGGAACAAGATCTCGGGTTGTAAATTCTGAAACACATGTGTAGTTAATGTCCTTTCTTATAAGAATACAGGCTCGGGGAAATTCCTGCCTGTTATCATATATTACCTTTGAATTTTTTCCAGACAAACCTCTAATTTGTCCCTGATACACCCAGGGTTCCTGGGCTAGTACCATTGCATAATGATTTTTCTCAAAGAGTCTTGCTATTGTAGCGGAAGACCCTTTTGCATGGTGCAGGTTTATTTGGGATATCCCATGCATGGGGGGGGAAGGAAGAAAGGATAAGTTTGGGGTGTGGGAAGAGGGGCTGGAGTAGGACTTTGGACCTGGTTTAGGTTACTGGGGTGTGTGAGGATTCTCCCGTTGTAGAGGGGATAGGGTATTCCTCATCTTCCTCTGACAACGGAAGTTCCTCCTCCGAGAAGTGGCCATCAACCTTCTCCGAGGATATACACCCTTCCACGGTTGGGGTTTGGCCCTCCGTGCCCTTCACAGTCGAGGAGCTAGTCTTCGGCTGAGGTTCCTGTGAGGTGGAGGCTGGAGGATATGTCTCCATTTTCTCTACCTGTTTAGCTTGGTCTCTTCTTAGACCTGATACCGGTGTTGTCCCGAATCTATAGTAAAGAGTGTATCCCTCTTTCTCTATTGCCTCCTTGGATTTGAGGTCAATTCCTATTGTGAGGACTTGGCCGTGAAAACCAGGAAAACAAAAACCTTTTATTTAAAATTTTGCCAACGTTTCGGTGTATATTCTCGTGTTTTAGTTAGGAATCTTTTTAGCTAAGAATGGGCCTAGAACTAACGTCGATATATAGATAAAAAATGGTTTTTGGGTGTTTTTTGACATATGAAATTTTGTTTCGATGTCAGTTTGAATTTTTCTTGTTGGGGGCAGTACCCACATTTTTTTGAACAACTGTTTTGAAGAGTAATAACTTTTCGTCCGTACCTGTATTAAACAACTGAGTGAAAAAATATACATACATACATACCGTATGATCGAATAAAAACGGCGTCAGCGATGGCCATGAAATGATGATCAATAACATTTCCCATATAAATTTACAATAAAATGACAGCGATCTTCATTTCATAGCCATCGCTAACGCCGTTTTTATTCGATCAGTACCGTATGATCGAATAAAAATACATATACATACATAAAAAATATACACTTCTTTTTTTTACGTAAAAAAGTTCTCTTAGTGAAAAGCGCTATGCACAGGTCTTGGTTTTCGATATTTGAAATCGAAATAATCAATACATTGCATTATTAACAAAAATTAAACATGTTTCTTTTTCTTCTTAGGTCACCGTCTCCCTTCAGTGATTGGCAATCCAACTGTCAATGATGGTGCGTAAAATTGCACATCTGAAAATTTCAATTGATGTTCTCCAAACCAACGACCTCCTTCCCACTGATCTCCTCAAATTTACCTGCAATGGCCAGTGTGAGTACCTTGTATCGTTCACCCCTCATGATGCAACTGACGTACTATAGTTTCCTTTCCTTAACTGTCGATAGTTATAGAATCCCGGACGCATGGAAAAACGCAGAAGCTATGCTATTATACAAAAAAGAAGATTTTGCAAATATAGAGAATTATAGACAAATAAGCCTTCTCTCGCAACCATTATCAACGCATTATCAACAACCGACTGTCTACGAAACTAGATTCCTATCAGCCAGTAGAACAGGCACGCTTTCGAAAAGTTTTTAGTACCAGCGATCATCTACGCTGCGATCATCCAGCGATCATCAGTCATTGAAAAAACAACTGAATACAATATACCGCTACATTTGGCCTTTATAGACTTTCAAAAAGTCTTTGACAGCATCGAAACCTGGTGATTTCTAGCTGCAATGGAGGACGCAAGAATTGATTCCAGATATTATTCCATTATTAAAAATATCTATGATAGTGCCACCTTCCAAGTTAAATTAGATGATGACCTCAAAACAGAAAAAAGTCCACTCGGCAAGGACGTGAGACAAGGAGATACCATCTCTCCCAAGTTATTTACACTGGCACTGGAAAATGTCTTCATGAAATTAGAATGGGAAAATAGAGGTCTAAACATCGATGGGGAACCTTAGCCATCTTAGGTTCGCAGACGATATTGTCTTGCTGACAAGACAATATCGTCTGCGACATTCAAGAACTGAACACCATGCTAAAGGAGCTAAATGACCAATCCCAGAAAATTGGCCTTAAAATGAACTTGAAGAAGATCTAGATTATGAGCAACAATATCCATAACATTTCCGTAGAAAACGTTATTATTGAAAACGTAGACCATTATATATATTTAGGTCATAAAATCAAGCTGGGGAAGGAGAACCAGAATACGAATATCAAACGCAGGTTCCATTTAGCATGGGTAGCATTTGGAAATATCAGCGATATTTTCAAGGATAAAAAGGTGTCCATCAACCTAAAGAAAAAGGCTTACGACTGCTGCATTCTACCTGTGCTTGCGTATGGCTTGGAGACTATGTCAATTACCCGAAAAACAGCAGAACAACTATGAGTAGCACAAAGAGCCATGGATAGAATCATGTTGGGAGTCACCATTAGGGAAAAAATGCGGAACATCTACATACGTCAAAAACAGTGGCGGCTCGTGACCTTTACACTAGACAGTGCTGCATAATTGCAAAAAATAAATATCAAGATTTTATCAAGTTTAAAGACTTACCGAGTGATGAATTCCCAAACGGCTTAGCTAGTAGAATAAAATAATGTTCTTGGTATAGATGAATGAGATTTAGCACAAAAGTCACTATTAACAAAATAACAGTTTAATAATAAGATGCACAAATATAGTTATTTCTCGTTTTCTTAAAAATTAACTCGATCCGTCTGTCCTTTTGTTTGGCAAACTTGTCAATCACACGTTCATTGAAGTCTGATATGGACCGAATTAGTCTTTGCTCGATTGTGAGGCATGCTAAAGCATTTAGTCTCTCTTGGCACATCGTACTTCTTAAAAACGTTTTAATACGATTTAATGTAGAGAAGTCTCTCTCGGCCTCTACGGTAGTCATTGGCATAGTAACAAGAATTTTTAATAATTTTATCACTTCTCTAAATACCTCTTGAAGATTGTTACTAACTAGAAAGTTAAGTAGCACAGCACATGACGAAAAGTTTCTATATTCTTCACTGGAGTATAAAACAGTTAATTCTGTTTTTAGCCTCTGCTTTTCTAAAAAGGGGTATGATTTCATGGTTTCTGTGAAGTAGTCTTGGGGGAAGGTCAAATCATACCATTCAAATTTTTCGCAAATCAACAGGTTTGCAGCATTTAGTTGGTCAGTATATTGAAATCGGTCTTCGGCAACATTAATTATAACATCACAAACCTCAGTAGCTGATATTTTCCAAGTCTCATCATTAAATTTTAATCTTTTCGTATCGATGATATTTTCAAACGATTTTGCTTTTTCCATAATTTCATGCATTTTCTGGTTTCTGATTGTGGTTATATTTTCCTTAAATAATTTCAAGCAGCGACTGATTTCAACGGAGTCTATAATTCTTTTTTGTAGTTCGTTATACAAAATATCTACATGAGGCATAATGTAGTGAAATAGGGTAAGCCAAAAGACAAACGATCTTTCTTGCAATAGTCTTCTTATTGCTCCTGCCTGATTTTTTGTCGTAGTATTAATACCAGATGTTTCTTCGATTTCTTCCATACATTCTATCAAATCTTCCCTATATTCAAAAACAACATTTACTGTGCGGCTTTTAAAATTCCATCTAGTGGGCACAGATCTTGGAATTCTACGCCCAACTACTTTATTCAAAAAATGGACTCGTTGACTAGAGTTAGAAAAAAATATTGGTATTTCAGAGAGGTTTCCAAAGAATATCCGAACATCACTGTTTTGAGAGGCTGCTTGTGTCATTATTAAATTTAACTTGTGTGCATAACAATGCACAAAATGAGCTAAGGGATATTTTGCCTTAATTTTAGCCTGAACTCCTCCATGTCTCCCGCTCATTACTGCTGCACCATCGTACGATTGAGCAATCATTTTATTTGGATTTTGCCCTACCAAGGGTTGGAGTTCATTTAAAATGAGGGAGCTAAGCGAATCAGCTGTTTGTTGAGCGCTGGTAAAAAAGCCCCAAAATCGCTCAACTGCTGTGCTTCCTTTAATATAACGAAAAACCAGAACTGTTTGAAGTTTTGAAGAAACGTCGGTGGTTTCGTCGGCCATAACCCCCAAGAAATCCGCATCATGTATTTCCCTGGTAACTGTTTCTCGATAAACTTCGAAAATGCAGTCTAGTAAATCGTTCTGGATTTCTTTCGATGTTCCTTTAAAACAGTAGAGGATTCTAAATGTTCTTTTAATGTTTTATCCAGTTCAGCAGTATAATTGATAAGACCTAGAAAAATTCCAGGATTTTTTGAAGTTTCACGTTCATCGTGGCCTCTTAATCCAAGCTCAAACATGCCGCAAAATTTTATAGCATCTAAAATTTTTGAAAGCACTAACCTGTTTTTTGCAACTTTTTCATTATGAACAGCTATATTTTGCCAGAATGCCGTGTCAAGTTGTTCTTGTATATTAACTTTTCCTAACAAGGCAAAACGCATCTCATTACTTATGTGTTGTTTTGAATTTTCATGAGCCTTAGCCTTTTCACTTAAATGCGTTAAGTCACTAACACCATGGCTTGTCCAATGCACATCACCACCAAACAGTACACAAGTAAAACAAAATAATTTATGTTTAATGTCACAACCGCAAATCCAATTGTACTTAGAATAAATGTTTACGTTAAATTTTCTAATGTAGGTTTTGCCGCGGCTTTTCGAAGAACACTCTATATTTAATTCCGGTTTTGGACGTCCAGTTTCTTTAATTTCTAATTTTTCGTCCATCGACAAACGCGAAAAGTCTTTATATTTTATAGGAATTTCCATAATTTAATTTGGAATCGATTTCAAACAAAACTTTATGCACTTATAACCTGTAACTGTCACACGTTCGCTAAGGACTAAGTCCAGAAACAAATATTTTTAGGGGGTGAATTCATCAATTAATTCGCCAAAGTATTCTTGAGTGAACTATTTGTGTTGTCTTGAGTGAAAAAATTAACCTATGTTCAAGAATACATCACCCGGACCCCGAAAAGTGCAGCACGAATTTAATAGTTTCTGCTTCTCCGATTGGTCAACTCAAGGCCAAATTTGCATGTGCTCCCATTATTTTTCGTAAGTGTGACGTAGGACTATCGGCTGTGAACGAGCCTATGACGCGTGTCGAGCGGAGCTGATTTGCTGATTCCGTAGTCGGGCGATAGAGGGTGGTATAATCGACGGATGGACAAAGCCAACGAGTTTGAATATACAGAGAACTATTCAAGAATTTCAAGATAAATAAAAATTATATAGGTAGTTTAAGTATGAATCAGAAAATTAGGTATCTATTAGAAAAGAAAATTGTGGCGGTGTTTTCAGCCAGTGCTGCAGCTCTGCAGCTCTTATTAAGAAACCGCCACAGGTCAAAAAACAAAATTAATAGATGTTGTTAAAAGAGTGGCAAGTCTGAAGTGGCAATGGATAGGACATGTGGCAAGACATGATCCAGACCGATGGCCCCAAAAAGTCATCCTATGGAGACCTAGGGGAACAACAAGAAGTGTGGGCCGACCAAAAAAGAGATGGGTCGATGACGTCAGGGCACTGGCGGGAAGACCAAAATCAAATTTCTTATGTTGGACCTTAGTTCCCAAATTATTTGGAAAAATTGAAATATAATTGAAACGTCTGCACCCTGTAACTCCGAAACAAAGCATTTTAGTGTTTAAACACAACTCGGACCACCCTGTATATACCCAGCCTGTTGTTTGCCTTTTAAACTATTGATATTTATAAAACTGTATGTCTATACCAAGAAATTATAAAATAATATAATGGAATTAAAAATATTTTAAAGCTTTTTTATTATCCATCCAATTGAAAATTAGTTAATTAATTTTACTTATAAATAAATATAACAATTGCCTAGTGTAAAGACCAGTACTATACATTTAATACTGGGTACTTCAGAAAAGTTTCCTTTTCCTGCAAGGTGAACTACTTATGTTTAGCGGCAGTATTTCCACCTTTTGTCGTTAATGATATTGCTTTAAATGATGTAAATTCTTTTGAGAGAATTGACGATAACTTATATTATGTAGTGCTCTTAATACACATAGAAAGTTGTACAAGAATAAAATATGCGAATAAAATATAAAATACCATAAATGATAGTACACAGAGCAAAGAATTGCAACCAGGGATGATATTTTCCAAAAAATGTCCACATATTTATTTATTTTTATCTATACAGGGTGCTACAAATTCGAGGTCCGAGCATTGGTATCTCTGATAGCGTAATAGGTAGGAAGATGGTTAAATTGGGGCAAAGTTGCGCCTTGGGATGTTACATGCTAAGAAGAAGATATGTTTAAAGAGCTATAAATAAGATTGAACGAAAAATAAATTTGTGCATTAGGGAGTGTGGTGACCCTTTCGAACATGTAGAGCATTAGAAACTAGTTAGAAAAAGTTAAATTTGTTATAATTACTACGATTAATATCATGCATATTATTAAATTAGCTTAGACATTGAGACATTTCAAATCCACAATAAAAAGAGTTAAAAAAATATCTTTAAATTGCTGACCTGGACATTATTTATTTGAATCTTTTAAATGGCTCGTTTTTTCGTATACAAAGTTAATTAGCGCTGATCAATATTGATGCGATGAATATAATCAGATTAAATTATTTAAAAAAAAACAGTGTCGGACTTGAAATTATTGTAAATAATAATTAAATAGTTTTGTTATTGTTAAGGTACCCAAAACAAAAACAAAAAATTATCAAGTGTGGTTAATTATTGTATTCAGAAGACCGAGTTCTTTCAAAATCTGAAATAAAAAATGCAGGTCCGTATTTAAAAAAATTAGGTTGGCCTCTGTATCTCACAAATTATCAGTTATAATTTAAAAATCTAAAAATCCTATCCTATGAGAATGTGCAATTAGTTTTTTGATTTTCTAAAAAGTAACGACAGGAAAAAATTAAATTGATTTTCAAAAAATCCGTTTGTTCCAAAAAACTCAGCAATCCGAAATATGTTTAAGGCTTTTTGATGGCATCTTGGTAAATATCCCAAGGAGCAACCTTGCCCTAATTTAACAATCTTCGTATCTATAACGGTTTCCGAGATACCAATGCTCGTACCTCGAATTTGTAGCACCCTGTATAATTTTTGACATTAAAGTTGAAGAATTGGGGGAGGAATTGAAATATGCTATTATTGCATATTTCAATACCTCCCTCAATTCTACAGGGGGTTCAATTTAACAAAATTAAACTTTGATGTGCTACGAGTTTATGACCTGTATACTTAAATGTATTACTCATCAATAGACGTTTAAAAACCATATATAAATTTTATTTTTAACTTTTTTTTTTTTTTTTTTTTTCTGTACCTCGTATATTTTACCCAATATTCGATGGTTTCTATACATATCAGCGATCCTGTCTACGATATGTATAAGTACTTAAAATTGGCAGTTTGTATTATATTTGAATTTTTTTAGAAAATGTAATAGTCGGAAAATGTAATAATCAAATAGTCGGCTGATCGGTTCCATAAGAATATATTGTTTTCATTTTTGCAACTAAATAGTAATTAATCTAAAAAATAAAACTAATTATCAAAAAAAAAACTCGCAATCGTATATGCATTGTTCATTTAAAAATATGTAATAGTTACTTTTTTTCAAATATGCGATAATTATTTTGAGCAGTGTATTTTCCTGAGCATCCATTTCAATTTTAGGAGTTTCATTTCAATTTATTCATATTTAGTTCAATCGAAAAATGTCGACTTCAAAACTCACAAATAAACTCCAAGAAATGAAAACTCAATCCAAAATAAAATTGTTTAAATACATTTTGAAAAAAACGTCTGAACTATCCAATTACAAAACACTCTTTCTGGTTAATTACAATTTTCGCTGTATCTTAAAGTATTTGAAATATTTCAAGTAACTTTAAGCCAATTTTATTAAACTCAACCACATGTTATAAAGTTGTATCTAACTGATTTCAGTGTTGAATAATAATAGTAAAAGTGCAAAATATTTTGTAATCTTACTTTTTGCTTCGATTGTTCTCAAGCGGTTTATCGCAATCGAATTTAAATTGTTGAAGGTATATAAATTCTCTGTGAATTCCTTTAGCAAGCATGAAATCGGCTCTTTCTAATGATTAATTTATACTAATTTATCTATATTATTGACCCAGGGGCATTTACCACACTACTACAACAAACATCATGAGCATAAAATGCAAACAATAAGAATGTTATTTACAAGAAAAAAACTTATTTATATTGTGCTTAGTACGGAAGTATCTTAAGGTCTTTAATTTATATGTTAATATTTTTGTTAAAATAATATTATCGACTATAAACCATTAAATTTCGGACTAAAAGACGAAATGGTGTTTTATGCAACTCCAAATAAATATTATTGGCCTCCGCTCAATATGACAAAAAAACGGCGTCAGCGATGGTTATAAAATGAAAATCGCTGTCATTTTATATGTAAAATGATATGGGCAATTTCATCGATGTTCATTTCCAAGCCAACTGGATGCCAGTCTACCGATTTTTTTCGATCATGCGGTATTATATACTATTTATTATATGATTATATTAAATCGGAATTAAAATATGGCTCTAAAAATATTAAATATTGGTGTTAAGAATTATTTAATAAATATAGCGTATATGAATTGGATTGATAATTTAATATTATATTTGTAAAATAAGCAATCCAATTACGCTAGTGTCATAAAGTGTTGTGAAAAACAAATGAAAGAACTGTATATTTATTTTTCTGGTACCTTAAGTAATTGTCTGGTCAAATTATCGCCGGTAGAGTCAGTTACAATTCTTGTTTTTATGAAACATAAATTGTGCACGTGGTTCGTTCAAATGAACGAATCGTAGGAGTCGATTCAATATGAGAAATTAAATCGTGTGATTCGATTCAATAAAAAGAATCGTAATACCCATTTAGTAATGTTCTCTTCTCCTAAATAACCCTCTTCACATAGTCTGCATTAGTATGCAGACTATTCTCCTTGGACGGGTAGTATAGAAAGCATTTCTTTCTTTTTCATGAGCTTAGTTTGTCGCTGTCATAT